TAGTTAATGAAAACACAGTTGTTCACTGTTAGTTCATGTTAATTTACGGTGCATAAACTAATGTTAACAAGCAAGCACAACGTTTGATTTTAATAATGCATTAGTAAATGCTGAAATTAACATTAACTAAGATTAATACATGCTGTAGAAGTATTGTTCATGCTTAGTTCATGTTAAAGGGGTCATATGATGCGATTTCAAGTTTTCCTTTCTCTTTGGAGTGTTACAAGCTGATTGTGCATAGATAAGATCGCTGAAGTTGGAAAGACTAAATTCTCAAAACCAAAGAGATATTCTTTATCAAAGTTAAGACTCTGCCACGCCCCCCTAACGGCTTTTTAATTTTACTTAACATTATTGTATTTATTCATTATACTGAAGAGACCTTTTTGAAAGATAGTTTTTTTGGTTTTTTTTGTTATGTAATTTTGAGGTGTTCAGTTTTATTTTGGTTTTCCCCTTGATTAGTCTCCCCAGGTGTGTCTTATCTTGTTAAGCTTGTTAGCCCCCTGTATGTATATATAGCCCTAATTTTCTTTAGTTCCTTGTGAGTTGTTGAATGTAATGGTTGTCTGTTTGCCAGTCATTCTTTTTTTGGCTTATTGTTTGTTCTAGTCGTTCCATTAAATACCTGCACATAGATCCTTGCCTCTGCCTGTTTTCCTATTTAGTATAAGTAAAATACTTAAGTACTGTTAAAATCAGATACTCTAAGACTTTTACTCAAGTTGTTTTGGAATTGGTGACTTGTAATGTGTAGTTGAGTTATTTTCACTGTAAGGTATCTGTACTTTTACTCAAGTATGGTTTTTAGTTACTCTTTACACCTCTACTTGGTATTTGATTGGATGTGCTACTTCTCTGTGCTAGTCTCATTTTATTTCATTTATGCCACTGTGGTGAGAACACATGACTATACACGCAGACAGTATCAACAAAGTGTGTAAACCACTGATTATTTAATTGAAATATTGAAACTGACACCCTCTCCTTTGCTCTCACTGTCCATGTGGGTACCCACACTGTTTATATTCATGTCAGCTTGAAGGAAGCTGAAGTTTACTTGTGTTTCAGGGTCAGAAAGATAAAAAACTAGGGCTGCACGATAAATCGCATGCGATATTTAATGCGCATCTTGTCAGAAAGCCGGTCCTGTAATCAGCGGTAAATCTCCATCACCTGCGGGCTTTCACATTGAGCAGCATTAACTACACCGAGCCGTTGTTCTCTGACGAGCTGCGCAAAA